ACACTGCACAGGGTGCTAGTGGTAGGGAATGGGAACAGGGCTTTGGAACTAGGATAAACATGAATTTTTTTAGGAATCTTAGCCTTGTAGGAAATGAGTAGGATGTGTATACAAATAGCTAATGCAACATTCTAAAAGGTGGAGATGAGGTATATAAATAATATTATCCCATTTAGAAAGGATACCTGCAAAAGACATATTTAGGAAAACATGATGTGTTTTGCATATCAAGGTAGACCAGTCTTAGGAAGTGTAAATATCTGAAGGAGACTAATATTGATGCTACTTAAAGAACCAGTAGTACCAGCTGTTACAATAATCACCTTCTGCTTTCTATACATAGGCACACTTTTAGAATGAGAAATATCCTATACGTTATATATGTCTGAACCATTATAAAAACACCATTATAGTAATTCCAGGCTGTTAGAGTTTCGTGTCATGTATTTAAAATTTAACTGGAAATATTTGGAAGCATACCCAAGATGCTTAGAGTCGTACTTTTGTCTCTGGTTGGTAAGGTTTTTAGTGATTTTTTAAAAATTATATTTATTATGGTTCAAAGTTTCTACAATAAGCCTGCTTAATATTTATACTAAAAACATCATAAAAGAATGGTGTAATATTTTTGATCCTAGTATAGCTTTAGAGATAGAGTTATGGAGTTAAAGGAGTAATTTCTGTAATTGTAATTTTATTTCTGTATGTATCTTTCATAGTGCATATAGCAGTTAAAATTGGGTACTTCAAAGTGTAAGAGAAGGAAAAGAGAAAAACAAACATTTAAAAAACCTAACAGATGTAAATTTGAATGGGTGGATTATACACAGTTTTTGCTGATGTCCACACTGTGGTCACTTCTTACCACAGTGAATAGATTTAAGGTCCCTAGACAGTCTTGTGGAATAAGACCAAAGTTGTGGATTTATTTCTCATACAAAAGTTGCTTTTGCTCACATTTATAACTGCAGGTTGTACCCTGATTGCTCCAGAAATTACAATAATTCTCAAATGTGACAGCTGGCTTGTAATAATATCTTAAAACACATTTTTTATATTTCATTAAAGTAAATTAAAGAATTTAAATAAGATTTGAATTATAATTCTTTAACTTTTCTTTTTGAATAGCTGTACTTTGAGGCAAACATATTTTCACTAGAAATACCTGAATAATTTACTTATGTATATTTGACACATGTAAATATATTTATCCACATTGTATGTTTACCTCTGTGGCCACTTCCATGGGTGTAATGTGGGGTTGATATCCCAGTACCTAGGAGGTGTGCTCAATGAGTAACAACTATGGGTAGCTGTCAGCAGTTCTATTAAATGTTGTACCCCTTTATCAGATAAGGAGATTGTGCCTCAGAAAAGTAGTTTATTTAAAGAGTAAATATCAGAAGCTATTCCATTCAATAAAAACTTATCACACACACACACACACACACACACACACTTTTGAAATGCTTTAGATGTAAAGATGAATCGGGCATAGCCTGGTTCAGAATCTGGTGCACAGAACAGAAATCTCTATGGATAGATCAAGAAAAATTAGATTTGAAACAGTTAGTGCTTCAGACCTTATTGGAAGAGTGGGAGAATGAAAGCTCAGAGAGGACTGTGACTGCTGTCTTGGCTTTGAGGTCACACCCTGCAGATGTGAGGCAGAGGTCAGAAACTTGCCGTTGTCCCCACACTCCTATTGCTGCTGTGCTGGAGGCCTCTAACCTTCCCAAGTGGCATCTAGAGTGTGAAAGGTGTGGTTCAGACTCTGGTGCAAACCCCTCCAAAGCTTGCAAGCAGGAAGGTGACTGCTGCCTCTCTCGAAACCCTTCAAACCTTACTCAAGTGCTTCTTATTGAGAGGACTCTCCTATGCAGAATCCCTGCTGTGACATTCATATGTTTTAGTCCTGTGCCCCTTACCTTGTAGGGTAGAGGTTCAGCACCAATAGACCAAATAGTGGAGGCATAAGAATAAGGAGACAATTTCAGAGTAATATGGCAAGGACAACATTGGACTTAGGCACTGTGCTGGTGTTGGAGGGCTTTAAGTGAGTTCAAAAGTAGAGAAGGGAACAAAAAACAGCTTCCTGGAAATGATGTTGCCTGAATAGTAAGGAATTGGCAAGAGCAGATTGTGCAAAAATGGAAGGGAGGACACAGCAAGCACACGGGAGAGAACAAAGTGTGAATAAGTTGTAAAACCGCACTTGGACATGAGTAGAAATGAAGGGGATGGAGGGAAGTGACATGCTGCTAAGCAGGGGAGTGGTGGTAGTGGGTTTCAGATTTTACTGTGATCACATTGGCATCATGGAGGGCAAATGGGTGACTGGATGTGAGACCAACCCTGTGTTCCTCCGGATACTATACCCTTAGGGATAGCTTGTGCTAGGAAAACTCCACTGGCCAGGAAACCTTTAAGGAAACTTCTCTGCCTCACTCATATCGCCATTAATAATGGAGATGATAATAATAGTCTCTGATATAATCTGCAGCCATAAATTTTTACATGGTTCTTAGATTTGAATATGCTCTACACAAATAAACCCCAAGATGGAAAATTAAATTAAAGGGAAATCAGGTCAATAGACAGATGATCTCAAACAAGCGCATTTGGAATTTCCAGGGATTAATATTATGAATATGATAAATATGAACTCACCATATACAAGTTACCACAAATAAGAGCAGCAGAGACAGCAAACAAATTCAAGTACTCGAGGACTCAAAAACAAAGTACCTATGTATTAAATAGTTATGTCATCAAACAGTGTTACTAATCACAGAATGTAAAAAAATGAGCAAAAGCCAAGCAAGTACACAATTCGAGTCTCGTGAGAATCTATTTTACACCCACCAGATTGGCAAAAACTAGAAAAATTCACACTACCAAGTGCAGGATGTGGAACAGCTGCAACTTTACTGCACTATTGGGGGAAAGAGGAATATAAACTGGTACAACTGCTCTTACCAGTTTTGTAAAGTTAAAGTATATACACTCTGTGACTTGACATTGACACTGTTAGATAAATGCCCTATATAGAGAGTACACTTGAATATGCAAAACCGGCATGTTTAAGAAGGCGCCTGCAGGGCACCATTGCTGTCAATGGCAGAAAAGCCAGAAATTTGGGAAACGCTGAGCATGGACAGAAGAAAAATAGCTTGTGTTGTGCCACATAATGGTATACTATTCAACAGTAACAATGAACAAAAGATATACGCAACATGGGTAAACCTCAATACAATGAGCCTCAAAATCAACGTTATGTGACAACAGAACAATGCATGTACTATGATAACATTTTTTATAAAGTTTAAGTACTTAAAAATGTAACAGTATATTTTAGATTTATGTATAGAGCAAAAATACAGTATTACAATACATAAAATGGAAATATAATATTTACACATTTGTAATGTTTATAAAATACATATAAGCCAAGGAAATGTTTTTATATAAAGCATAATATACAATTTTAAGATGTGGGGGAGGGTGAAAGAATATGAATTCAGTGAACTTCAAGGTTACCAGCAATTTGCTATTTCTTCAGTTGAGTGAAAGGCTCATGAGTGTTGATCTTAGCATTCTTTTTATTTTTACATACATTATTGATCTTCTTTTCATGTGTAAAGTGTGATTAGTTCAAAAACTATTTGTCTGGATTTCCATTTGATTTATTTCTATTATTGTAATAACCTCTTGATGAGGTTTATAGAATGACGTGTTTATAAAAGAAGTAATGACTGTCATAAAAGAAATCACATTTTACCTTTAGCTATTCTAACTTATTTATTTTTGAGGTACTGTTTGGTTTTTTAATAGTGTGTTATTCTCAGCGGTAGACATTACTTTGTAAAAATGCTCATCAGTCCTGAAAAACAGTGTACATAACCAATAATTAATTACTAAGGCTTATGTGTGTCTCCCAAAACAAAATAGATTAATGGTGTTATATTTTGCATGTTTTTTAATTTTTTTGAATCTTGTTCAAGAGAACATTCAAATTAAAAAAATACATGTACACTTATATTTATTTTTTTACTTTTGTTTCTGTTAATGCTTAGTAGAATCCAGAAGAAGGTCAATTGTGATCCCCCTTGAAGCACATTTCTAGTGGTGTAGTTTTCCTTAAAGAAGACATACATCAGTAGTCAATTCAGTGTGGAAATTTGAAATAGTAGCAAGATTCAGGTCCATTTATGTGGAATCCATAGCACTTAAAATGTTGAGATCGATTTTGCTTAAGAATTTCCCTCCTGCTGTGGAGTGGGTTTGGGATGTACCTCTCTCTACATCACTTCAGGTGCAAACGCTACACAGGTAGGTTCTGGCCATTACGAGAGCCCCATTTCCACATGTGTGGTGAGCTCGGCAGGTTTTGACTTTTATTTAACCTGGCAAAATCCATCTCCAAATTTCTTACACTGCAATTCTAGGTTTTTCTTTTGCTTAAGCACAGTTTCTTTTGTTAATGGTTGAAATAAGGACAGAAGAATGTTTAAAATGAAGTTGATAATAAGAGAAAAAGAATAAAGTGAGTTCTGATACCTGACATTGCTCACATTATAGATGACTACAGTGAAATTTAATAAAATATTTTAATTTAAGTATACTTCAATATAAATATAAACCATTTAAATAAACACTTATTTATCATAGGTTCATTATTTGGCAAATTTCTAATGTCTTTTAATTATGTTTCTTAACCTATAATGACCATTATGGTCATTAAAATATGGCAATCCTAAACATGCTGAAATCCTTACCAACTATCGATATTATTAAGAAATATTTGCTTTATTATATATTGGTTCTGCTTTTGTGTGAAAGTTGCAATGTTTAAAGTGATGAATTCCTTCTTCTACTAACTATATGGATGATCTCATTTAATTGTGTTGAATAAAGAATTTGTCTGCTATATGACTTTCTGTGACCATTCACCATGTATTAAGCCACGTTGGATTTTATTTCCCTCTGTTCTCCTCTAGGACAGTTTCCCAGCACGGTTTGGAGGGATTCATTTTGTCAATCAACCATGGTATATCCACGCCCTGTATACTGTGATCCGGCCTTTCCTGAAGGAGAAGACTCGGAAAAGGGTATTTGTTTATTTCTGTTTTTATTTCCTTTCACCTTCCCCATTCAATGAATTATGATACATACTATGTATATAATACTGGCTATGGTAAACATGCTTCCATATTGCATGTCAATATTCAACATACAAGATATTTAAACATTCTTAAAGACATGTGATTAATTCTGAATATTATCTGTGAAAGGAATATTTAAAACCTGGTGCTCCTAGTTTTCCACAAATTAGAAGAATGTTTTAGCACTTTATTATATATTAATGTTTCAGTTTAAAAGTAAAAAAATTGTCACCTTTCTATATTTATTGGTACACTTTATATCAAGTAAGTCTAAACAGAAGTTATAATATTATAAGTTGATAAATGGAATTGCTTCACAATATGTATTGCATTGAATATAATGCATTGTATAATAGCTAATGTGATTGTGTCATGATTATCCTGATCATCTCACATTGCAGAAAGAATGCTTATGTGTAGAAATATTAACATTCATTTAAATTACAAGTAACTTGAGTTTCTAGATTCAGTTTCACCTCAAAATGAGCACATTCAAAATACACTCAATAAAATCATTATTCTGAGAATAAGATTATCTATATGTTGGCCAGCACTCAATCTGATGAGCCAGGGCAAAATAAGATAATTTATATAAAGCACTTACCACAGTGCATGACATGTGGTAAATGCTGAACACATTTATTGTTGTTAATAACATTGATTTAAAAGTATAGTTTAATGCATATTATCTTACTGAATTCTTCAAACAGCTCTGAAAGTAAGCTTGGTAAACATTATGTCCTATTTCAGAGCAGAGGAGAAAGTAAGTCTTAGGATGGATAAGTAACTTGCTTACTCATTTATACAGCTGTAAAGTGGTACAGCAACATTCAAATCAAGATAGCTCTACATTTTGAGCTATTTTTACCATTGTGCTGTAACCAATTTTCAAATGATTAGTTCCATATTAAAATATACCTCTAAATCTAGGTGGAAGATAATTTTCCATGTCTCTCAGTGAATGAAAAATCACTTTAGGTATTTCTGTGTTATAGAAGCCTCATTGTGCATGGGTATTTGTGAAATAGTTATTAAGTATGTGTTTGTATCAAACATTAGTGATGGAGACTTTTCTGCTTATGAATTTGTTGAAAATGTCCCAGTAGTTTAAGAGGAGGACTTTCATACATAATTATAATTAATATTAGAAATTGTTTTTACGAGAGTCTCAAATTAATTTACATTTTAGAATTCAGAAAAATGGATTGATGTGCCTTGCAAATAACACTTGCAAATTTTGTTTTATGAAAGGATGATCAGGTGAGCAAAACACCCACTGGGGCTTTTAGTACAAATTATACTAGTGAACACTTTTGTAGTAGTCACTCCGTACATGCTGTTCTAAGTAATTTATATATGTTAACTCATGTAATCCTTAAAACAAGGCTTATTTTTTCTCTTTTTATAGATGGGAAAACTAGGCAAGATGGTTAAGCAATTTGCTCTAAAATCACAGCTAAAGGTAGTAGAACTGGATGTATGGAATGCTGCTCCCGGCAGAGGGAGTGGCAAACACAGAGGTCCTTGGGCAGAAAAGTCCTGGTGTATGTGACCAACAGCACAGAGGCCACAGAGACTGGAGTAGGATGAGCACTGGGGGGGAGGTAACAGAGGACTAGGTAGGAGGGAAAACGGTGCACCCGGCCCCGTAGGGCCTTGGACACCACTGCAAGAACCTGGGCTTTCAGAGTAAAATGAGAAGCATGTGAAAGACTTTGAGAACAGGGATGATTGTTTTGACATGATTTTAACACAATTCTGTTCTGTTGAAAAAGACTGAAGAGGATAGAATTTAGAAAATCAGAAAAGCTCCAGGTTTGGGGGTTATTAGATTGCATTTGACCGTTTGATGGTTCCTAAATGAATGCATTTCTCCCATTATTCTAGATGGAAGGGAGGTATCTGAACTTTAACATTTTAATTAAAACTATATGACTTTGAATTTTTCATATGAGAAAATAATTATAGGTGAAAACTCCTTTACTTTCTTTTTATGCAATCAATGCACAACACAAAGCTATAATTTTTCCTTACTGTTGGTCTAAGTAATTCAGAAAAATGTAAGTAATTCACAATTCATAAATTGTGAATCTTCCTTTACAAAAAAAAAGCACCTGGTTCTTCATTTGCTTAACTTCAGTATGACTTTGCATCCTCAACATATCTGGCTTATGAGAAGAAATATCAACGTTAGGTGTTATAGGGGTGCCTTCTTCTCAAAATGTCACCAATAGCTGGAATTTGTCATGCAGAGTCAGACTTCTCAACTATCATGGCCACTTCTGACATCATTATTCAAGCCAGTATTAGTTCCTTGGATTAAGTTCTCTTTCCGCTCTCAAGATGTCTGTGAAAAAAGAGCATTTTTCCTGTAGCTAGGACCCCCTGGCTAGGCTTTAACCCACTGCTCTGGTGCACTCTTCAGCTAGTCCATGGCTGTGACCTTGCCACTCCCCAAGAGCTGACAGGAAGCAGGTTTTACTTCTGGTTTGTACAAATTTCTACCTCTTCCTCAAATGGTGGACTCATGCCATGTTAATTTTCAAAAGTATTCCACTCTAGTCACCTAGCGTATTCTCTTTAGTGTCACAGTTTAGGAAAATGAAATAAAAGTTGGAAGTATTATTCAAGATAATTGTTTTTGCCTTTGAAGGTACTCTGGGACAAAGGAGCCCACAAAGACAAGACTTCTGGCATGGAATGCAGGAAGAGAAAAATAAGGAGAAACAATAGTAAAACTTTAATAAATGATGCTATTATGCAGAACTAGTTAAAACAAAGAAAAATCTTAGAGCAAAAATTAAATAGTTGAGCAATTACAATACATCCTATTATCTAGCTCAGAGGGACATGAAGCCTGGAGCTCTCTGACATTGAGATGTTGGGGGAATGAGGAATAAACAGCTAAAGAGAAGGCAGAAGCATGAATCAAGGTAGGAGAAAACCAAGAGATCATGGGAGAAAATGTTTTCATGAGGAGAACCATCCACTTACAGGGCTGTCCAACCCGTGGCCTGTGGCCCACATGTGGTCCAAGATGACCCACTGTGAACGTGGCCCAGCACAAAATCATAAATTTACTTTAACATGAGATTTATTGTGTGTAATTACATGTCAAAAGGCATTTAATGTGTGGCCTAGGACAGCTCTTCTTCTTCCAATCCGGCCCAGAGATGCCAAAAGGTTGGACACTCCCAATACTGTATCTAGGGCTTCTGAGAGTTAAAGAATAATAAGGACTGAGAATTGGACAATGAACTTAGCAAAGAGAAGACTCTCGACAAGAGCAGTTTTCAGACTGGTGGGAAGTAATGCCTATTAGCATTGAATTCGGGAAAAATGGGACAATAGTGTTTGGACAATGAATACAGACAAATCTTTTGATGAATTTTGCAATGAAGGGTAGGAGAGAAATTGGAATAACAGGAGATTTTATGTATTTGTATGGGGGAAGGGCAGAGTAGAGTTGGTATGTTTGTTTTCTGGTGGGAAAGATCCAGTGGAGCAAGGTGATTTGATGATGTTAGAGAGGTAGAGAGAATTGCTTAGGAAATGTAACTGATACAGGCTCAGACGGTGGTGGGGTGGTCTCATCTGGTTGCCCTATTTTTTCAGTGAAAGAGGAAAAAAGGCCAAAGCAGAAAGTGATCCTGAGAGAGAGAGTGTTAGTGAAGAAAGAGGAAGTAGTGTGTTGGGTCACATATATTTTTTAAGGATTTATTACCATACGTCTTGCATGACTTGAAAGAGAAAGTTTCTTACATGAAGTAATGCACCTGATAAAATAAAGGTTATGTACCTAATAAAATATGGGTTTCAGATGCTAGAGCTTAACTTTGCCAGGAAAAAATATTTTTATTTCTTATGAGAAGAACCTAGCTCTCTCTGTGTGTGTGTGTTTTCCTGAGCTGTTGTGCCCTGCAAAAAGGTGTGGTAAGGTATAAACTTTGCAATGAACTTGACGTAATTTGGGAAAGATGGCCTCTTCCACTTTTGTATATTCTGCATCACATATTCCAGGCAGATGGTTTTTTTTCCTGACTATTTTGGCCAGTGACTTGCTCTCAGCTGCTTTTACTCTTCCATAATTTGTTAAAATACTTGTCGATTAGTGACTCCCATCCCTTTCATTTTATTTGATATTGTAGACTAGTCTTTCTTTGTTTTCCTAAATATTTACATCACTAGTTCTAAAAGTTTATAAAACAAAAATGAATGTGGTAGCCTGCTCATTGTGAACCCAAAGCATAAACTGTAATCCTCAAATAAATGTTATATAACTTTATATGAGATGACAACAATGCTTTATCAGTGAAGACTGATTTGTATAGTTTTGATACTGAAATGAAAGAAAAGAGGTAGCAATTTATGGGCAAACAGATCTAGAGTATGTAGCTTGACTAATTTTTCAGTTTAACAAAATGCTTTGTGTAAACAGTTACACCTAAATATATGCATTTTGCTTTACATTTTTAATCATTTCATTTTGAACTTGAACAATGAACATGGAACTCTCTAGCAGAGAAGTTGTTGAAACATTGCAGAACATAAGTCCTTTGGGACATGAACTTTCACTCAACCTTTCATTATGATGATGCTAATCTACTTTTATTCACATCATACACTTTGCATTATGAAGTGGTAATTTAGCAGTCACAGTATTCTTGTTTTTATGGATGATAAAGAGAAAGCCATACCAGTGACAGCTTTTGGGCTGAATGACTTGGACAGACTTTGTAGCCAATGAGTCCCACATGAGAAGAAGCTGCTTTAGCAGGGTTCATTATGCAGATCATCGGCTTTGCACAGCTAACATCAGAACGATATACAGAATGATATACAGATCGACATTCGTGTTAGATTCTGCTATGTCCCTGGGTATGAAGCAGGAAACCAAATTCTGGTTCCAGCTCTTTAAGTCAATAATTATTGGACCTTCTAGAAGCTACTTAAAATCCCTGAGCCTTGGAATTTTCATATGAAATAATAGGATAATAGTACCAGCCTGCCTGTTTCACAGAGTGGATGAGGGGTCAGTATTTTAATAGATGTGGAAAACTCTTGCTTTTTCTCTTTCTATCCTTACTCCCCCGTACAGCATTTGGATAATATTTATTCTCTTCTTTGTGTTTTCTCTCACCTCTGTTCTTGTGTTCGTAGATATTTTTGCATGGTAACAACCTGAATAGTCTACACCAACTAATTCATCCTGAGATCCTGCCCTCTGAGTTCGGAGGAATGCTGCCCCCCTATGACATGGGGACATGGGCAAGAACACTGCTAGACCACGAGTACGACGATGACAGTGAATACAATGTGGACTCCTTCAGCATGCCTGTGACCGAGGTAGAAAAGGAACTCTCCCCCAAGTCCATGAAGAGGTATGCCTGAGGTAGCTGGGAAAAGGGCTGGGGTCAGGGTAGTGGCCCCTAACTCTAATCCCAGGTTTTATATTTTTTGAAGGAGATGTTTGGTGATATTTTAAAGCATTTCATGCTCCCATAATTGGATGTCTAGGAATTTTGAGTCAAATAAAGAAAGTCATTTGAGGTAATCTGAAGTTGGTGTTATTGCAAATTCACAGATAATCTAAAAGCTCTAGAAGTCACTAAATTCAGTGATATTTCAAATTGCACTTTAGGGTTCTGGTAGGGTTCCTCAGTCCAGGCGGGTGGGGTGGGGACAATGCCCATCTCCACAATGAAAATGGCCCTCCTGTCCAAGCAAATTTGTTAGACTTCTATTTAAGATTTTATTTGAAGAAAGGGACCTGTAGCTAACACTCATGCACACAAACTCTTTAAACACCAATATTCGAAGCTTGTGTTATCTTTACAGTATTTCTGCCAAGTTTTTGTTTAAAGGTCTAGTCATTCTCAGGGGAAAAACACTCTATTTCCCTACAGCTTTAATCTTTATAAAGTTCACTGTTGAGTCAGACTCTCTGCTTTGACTCTCACAGTATTTTTCTGACTGTTTTCCTTCAGTTAGTGCATACTTTATTGAACATGTTTGTAATAGGTTCTTTCCTAGGTATTTTGGGTCTAATATGGATAAAATGTACATCCAGCCACTGTCTAGTGACAATGGAGAGTGGGAGAGTTGCCAGACATGCACAAACACATAATTGCCGCTGAGCTGTATTCTGTAGCAAACTATAAGACATCTAATTCCCAGGCTTCCTTAGGCCACACTGACCCAGGGTTCATGTGGATAATGTAACTAATATTATTGGTTCATTTTTCACCACAGAAATAAAGGAATCACAGCTCCTGCGAGTCTCTTCTCACCTAGAGGTTTGGAGGGACCAAGCACATCTTACATGTCATCCCAAATGCTGTCATGCCTCCTTCTCTGATGAAATCCTTATGGTCCTTTGTCATTGCTGTGACCTATGTGTGGTGCTCCAGATCTTTGAGTTGGCTTTTTTTTTTGCTACTGTTGGTATGTGTATGATATCTTCCTTTCCCCAGACTGTTCCACCAGTCCTTGGAGAGAATGAAAAGGCTGATGACATCTCCAGCTTTAATTTCTCCACTGGCCACCAAGCTCATGTTTAAACCAAGTTCAGCTTTCTCAACTCCTTTCTCAGCTACTTTCTTAAAATAGGACTTTATAATTTGAGTTCTGCTCTCTAACCAAAGGGATTCATGGATGGACCCTTGAAGAGGTCTATTAAGTGCTAAACACTGTCTTCAAAGCTGTGTATGGAGAGGTGTGGAAAAAAAGAGTACATTTTTTCTAGAGAAAAGGCATATATCTCATTAAATTCTCAAAAATGTTTTCTAAAATAAAAATATTTAAAATACATGGACTCAGAATGATTTTCTTCTTATAAAAACAATAATCCTAGTATTAGTGTTGCAATCTATCATTTGCTTTCCACAAATTAGGCCTCACTAGTCCTTTTTTTGTTTACATTAATTTGTTTAATCCTCAGAGCAGAGCAAACTTGTCAAACAGATATGGTCTTATTCTGTTCTATTTCCTCCTCATTCTAGTCATTCCTTATCAATCACTTCCTTTATTTTTTTCATAGCACTTACCAGCCTGTGAAATGATTTATGTTATTTAATTGTATATGCACCCCCAATGTAAGCTTCATGGAGACTTCAGCGGCATTGTCTGTCCTGTTCTCTTCTGAATCCCCAGTACCTGGAGTAAGCCCTGACATGCAGAGGGTGCTCACTAGGTACTAGTTGAAAAATCACAGAGGCATCTGCTGTCTGTCACTGGCCCCTTTTAAGTATTGTATTTAGAATTGAATAGGTAACATCTGACACTGTTACTACTTGCACTGAGATTCTAGAATTATGGCTCTGCAGGGTAGACTTCATTGGCTTCCTATCGTTTCAGTCATTTTTGCCCTGTGGCTATCATTCAGGAAGCCAAAGAACATTGCTAACTCATAGTGCACTGTCTAAAACTTGTAAGTCTCTTTACTTTTAGATCCATATTCTCCTAAATCTCTGTTACTAGGTTTCTCTTTTTCCTCCAAGCACATTATTTTTAATTGATTAACATCATGTTGTTAGATTTGGCTTGGTCTATCCACCTTTTGAAGTCTTTATGGATCCAGAATTTTTCTCCAATTAATTAGGCCATTTTGTTTCCTGCAGACTGGGCCCACAGCACATCAACCTCCCCAACTCTGAGTTTCTTGCTTCTGACATGGGTTGATTATTATTTCTGACATCCTTTGCTTGGTGCTGGCTTTGTATCATATAAGATTTTGTTGTTCTATTTGAAAGCATGTGAAACAATGAGATTAAGAAATGTGTTTTACTTGACTCTTATCTTCTCCACATCAGGGAATGACAGTTCCCCCATGAAGGACAAGAGAAAATTGTTCCTAGGTTCCCCTTGCTCTCTTCACCTCTGTCTTCTTTTTGAGTTTTATCATATTTAAGTTGAGAGGGAAAAATCATTCCTTTACCAGTTGTAGATAAATCCTTGGGGCAAATTTAGCTAGATGTGTAAGAAGAAGACTTGACCCTCCTGTGTAAATTTGTGGGGGGTAGCATGGTCATGTGAAGAGATATAAAGTTCACTGGTTGTGGCTGCCTTAAACTGGACAAGTGTCTTTCTCCTTATATCTCTAGTACCTAGGATAGTTCCTGGCACATAACAGTTGCCTGAGTAATGATACTAATATGGTTATGCTGATATGACCTTCAGTTTTATTGAATAATATTTAACATCTATTGTTACTGCATGCAAAACTTATCTAATGTTTATATGTATTGAATCATTTGCTTTTCTAAACAACTAGTAAGGTAATAGTGTTCCCATCTTATTAATGAGGAGACCCAGTACAGAGAACGTAAGTAACTTCCACATGTCACATGGCTACAAAGTGGTGATGCTAATATTGGAACATGGGCTATCCTATTCCATAAGTCATTTCCTTAACTGCTACCATTTACTAGCTGCCAGAATTTGTGCTGGGGTTTATGCATGCATTATTGCATTCAATCCTCAATACATCTGTATGATGTAGCTGTTATGTTCTTCATTTTACAGATAAGGGAACAAAATCTTAGCAACTTTAAGTAGCCTTCCCTCAGTCACAGAGATTGTAAATGGCAGAACTGGAATTGGGATCCCCTTCTGTCCAAAATCTAGCCTCTTAAACACTAAGGTTGGCACAGTATTGGAGAGGCATAGAAAATGAATAAATACTTGGATAACTAAATTTAAATGATGTGTTTTAACCTCGAAAGTTATTTATCCCAGAGACAGTAGAGGCAAATACATACACATTCACCTTTAGTCAATCTCCTTTCTGATAGAGGCATCTAATACCTGTCATTGAGATCTAATACCTATCAAATGGTAAAAATGAATTAGGAAATAAAGTCACCATTTTAGTATTCCCATCTTCCTTTCACTCTCTCTTCAGAAAGGAATTTAAGTTTATTTAAAAGAAGGACGGGATTTGTCGGTTCATTTCGTAATTATTTTTACTTTGACAATTAGTTCCATAGCCTTTCTTTTTCATTAGCCTGTGCAGTTGTAGTTTAGCTTATAGTCTTTCTGTTTGAAAGTTAATGAGGTCTGCTAAGAGGCAGAGCATTAGCCAATTGGCTGGAATGTAGCAGCAGGGGAAAAATTCATTACCATGGAGAATTTTAAAAGGGCAGCTGCTTTCTTAATGCTATAGCTATTATGATGGCAGCTTCCTGCCACAACAGTAGCATGTCTCATTAATTTCATCCTTTCCTGTTTTATGTTGTTTCCTAACATATAATTTCCACCTGCTATCAAAGGCATGTGTAAGGGGTTTTCAAATTATTTGCTTTCCTAATCGTAAAGGGCAACTGCCTAACCAAGAGAGGATTTCACCTCAATTTTCTTTTTAAAATTTTAAAATTACAGTTGACAAAACAATATTACATGAGTTTCAGGTATATGCAAAGTGATTAGACATTTACAAAGTGATCCTCCAATACGTCTTGCCTCTATTTGACATTGTAAAAATATATACACACATATATGTATACACATAGTTATTAAAATCTTATTAACTATACTCTCAATGCCATATTTATATCCATATTACTATTTTGTACCAACCATTTTGTATTTCCCAATCCCCTTTTTATCTTTTTCACTCAGCACCCCCAGGGTTTTAACTTTTTAAAAATCTTAAAACATTTCATAAAATTTCAAGAGTAAGATTGATTTTATTCTAATGTTTCAGTGGGAAATTGAACAAAACTCACATTCAAATTTTAACTATTTTCCCAACATAATCATTAAAAAATGATGTTTAAACAAATGCACATTTATGTTAAATTTGTGCCACAGAGCCCTTTAAGACAGGAATAAAAGCTCCTACCATTTCTATTTCATGTCTCATAATAATAATTTCACTGCAATAATTTCCCATTTGGAATACAACCGTCCTATACTACCAATTATCATTTTCAAAGAAAAGACCCTTGCTCCTTTGTGAATAGGAAAACTTAAGCCCATTATTGTATATTTAGAATCTTTTGCTGTTGAGTATTCCATTTAGAGGCCAGAGGGTATCATTTCCTCTAATGAAAATTGATGCTCAGTGTCCTCAGTTCATAAATCCCTTGATGTAAAGGAAGATAATGTGCATCAGTGAGAGAAGTAATAATAGAGAAAAGGCAGAGAAGAGAATGTGATTATTTGGTAGTAACTCACTGACAGCGCCCCTGTCTTTTCCAGATCCCAATCAGTAGTGGATCCTACAGTCCTAAAACGTATGGATAAAAATGAGGAAGAAAACATGCAACCTTTGCTCTCTCTGGACTGATAACTTCTCTACACTCGCCGTGGATTGGAAAAGAAAGGTACATGTTTTCAGCAACAAAGACAGCACTGTGGAGGAATTACCAGCCGGGAATTTATTTATTTTTATTAATGTAGCATAATGTACAATAAGGCATCAGGCTTTTCCATTTGCCTGAACCATGGGGGCCCTGGTCTAGATTAAAATGTCAATAATTTATTCTGTAAGTGCCAAGTTCTTTGTAAATATAATGTAATCTTTATGTCAAGTTTGTAAATTTTGGTAATAACTAAAAATGGAAAGATTTGACTCATGAGTCCATGCCAGTGATGTGAACTGTAACAACAAGAAAAAAGACACATGAATAATCAAAGCTAATTAAATGTAGCCCTGTTTCCTCTGAAGCCATATTTCAACTCTCATAGTGATTGTTCCATTGTTTTCCTCTGAAACTCTGTCATATTCAAATGTACTTTTAATGGGCACAGGGAACTAGATGATTATAGGGAATTATTATGATAACCGTATTTCCTATCTAGTGAATTGCATTTCACAGAAAATGTATTCTAGTGACTCTCACTGGCCTTGTATTTTGGAGACAAATAATTGGCAGTTGATCTGGTACAGTGAACACTTGAACTCTTCAGTGTTATTTAATTCCTGGATTCTTGTAAAAAGATATGTTTTCCCAATTAAGGTGTGGAATTTTGAAAGAGAATGGATTCTTTTTAAACTGCTGTCTTCACAACATATCCTTTATTTAAGATCCCACTGAACCCCTGTCTGGTGTACTTTAAGAATATTTCTCCCTCAAAACTCTTTGACCAAGAGAAAGAGAACTCATACATAATAGTGTTTTAACAGCTAATTTTCAACATAAAAGTTGCTACATACAGATAAGGGGCTAATTTCTAATTTATTGTACACTGGTTTATAAACACCTGTATTCACACAAACATATATTTTTACTGAGCAAAAATCCTTGATGTGATAGGCTTATAAGATAAAACATACGTATTCATTGGTCTTAGAGATGATATAGATTATTATGCGAGAAAACTAACTTTGGAAAACCACTTTTTTAAAGTTAATGAAAATGAGGTATAGTGAAACACATTTTTAGTGAACCTCTTGAAGGGAATTCCAATTCGTAATGCAATCTTGAATCCATGCCATTTTAGCGAAATGTATTTTTCAAAACAACAGGTGTCTACATAGTGGAGGCAGTATCAGGTGATTGAGGGTAATAAAGTTATACTCACATTTAAGTAAATTATCCCAGTGATCCTATAAGTGCAGATTTTCTTTTCAGAAAAGATTGAAAGAATATATTGCATCCAGGAGAGACAATGAAAGCATCTGAGGGCATCTGAGATAGCACAATATAAGTTTAAATATACACTGGAATCCTTATGTCATCAAAAGTTTCTATTTCATAAAAAATCTGCCATCTTAGCACATTTTAAATAGCTTACTTTAAATTTCAAATTCTAGTGTGAAAAAAATGAAGAATTTCATCACCTTTTCAGATTGGTAATTTTTGATATTGAGAATTTACCATTAAAATATTCTTTTGAAAGAAAAGTATCTGAAGAAATTCTGGGAAACCAACGAAAATAGAGATATGTAGCAACCATACTTTTTAGCTAAAAGGTTACACACTTTTCAGTGGTAATTCTATAGTGAAAAATCTTAAATTCAAGATCAGTACAGTCTACAGTATCACCAATGAACTATTTAATATTTGTAAAAATACATAAATAACGTGTATGAAAGATCCCTTAAAATGCCAATGCCCAGTCAAATATGGAAGATTAATGACTCTCAGGTACTCTGTTCTACCCATAAATATCAGAGGCGGGAATGTATTTATTATAAAAAGCGCAGCTACTCTTGTCTGTGTAAGAACTCTGACCATTGCAGGTTTTGCCGGCCTGACATACATTCCCCAGGGGTGGGCTTTATATGCTATATAAGCAAGTGTTAGGCAAATGGGGCACTGGAATGAAGCACAAACAAAGTGCAGAAGGCAGTGAACTTTTCATTCTTATCGATTTCTCTTCTCATTTATTGCCAATTCTCAGAATTCTGCCCGTTTCAAAAATGTCGACTAACACAGCCAGCTTCTTTCCCCTGTCATTAGACTGGTGTTCTATAAAAATAATTAGGAAGACATATTTCTTATATCTCTACCTATCTAATTACAAAGTATCATAACACTGTCTCCCTGCCCCACATTTGGAATCTGCATAGGAATGGTTCCTCATCTGCTCTTCTTCAAATGAGCAGTCCAAAATTGGCAGGATTGTGTAAAATATTTTAAAATGAATGTACAAAATTAAAACAATGATGCCTGTTGAAATAGCTGTATCTAGTTCAGCCTATGAGAAAACTCATTTCCTAGGAATGCGTTTGAAGCTGCATAGTCAAGAGATACTTGGTCAAGTTTATAAAATTCCCCCTCCGCTTCAGCTGTCTCGTACCATTTAGGAGCTACTTTTCCCCTTATGATTTTTTTGTCCTGTAGTTGTGTGTATTGTTATAAAACTTAACAAATAAGCACCCCTAGGTTTCAATTTAACTGTGATAGTAATGCCCACTCTCACACACACTGACACACAGACACTCGACTGCCCTAATGAATTTGCCTGGCACTTTTGAGAACTACGCTTTGTTTTTTTTTAAGTATCTTCTTACCAAAAATATGTAGGCATCAAAGATTTTTCACATTTGATTTGGAATAGGCCAGTAGTTCCCTTACTTCTCTGACCCTATTTGCTCTACCTTCTATTTTTATGTCTTTTCTTTCTTCCAATGTTTCAAGGGCAGCTGTTTCCAAAGCTGTTTTAATAATAAATAACTTTTATGTTGTCAGTGATATTTGGACACATTTTTGACTGATTTAAATGAAAGAGATTATCTTGAAAATATACTCTAAGAAATATGGAGAAGTGCCTCTTTAAAAATGGGATAAAGCGGTGATACTAGAACATGGATTCTATTTGTACTCTCTTCCGAAAAGTAACTACATGTATATGGTCCAGGTGAAATATAGCTATCATCTGAAGAAGGCTATCTGAGGCCTTTCTGTGAGTATTCCTGTACAGTGTAAGTTTTTATTGTGTAAGTCCAATACAGTAACTCGAATGCACTATCAACAAGCCTGGCACTATGCTAAAACAATATACAGGTATTAAATAGAGTTTTGCAAGCAAGTTTTTGAAGTGGGCATGCATTATTTCTTCTCTTTCTATAATAGTTTGTGTAAGTGTAGCCAAAAACATTTCCTAAGTCTCTTCATATAAAATGCCTATTTACTTTACAGTACTGAAAATTCATATATTCATAAGCAGAAAAGCCAAACAGTTAGGGTTCCTTTAATTTCGCAAACTAGGTCACATTGTTAAATTAAACATTTGAAGTATCTCTAATGTTCCTGAGGGAACAGAAATGTCTCCCATGCATCAAGAAAAATTGAGAGTTGTTTTAGTCTTTGGAGAACATATTTATTATTCTTCACAAAAGGAAAACCCTTAGACCCATGACAGTGAGACTTCAGGGACTGACTTCCTTTTCTTCTAGTAACAACCTCAAGGGTTATGGACATGTTTATGGTCCTTTAGAAGAGTTATATCAGGAAAACCTGCTGAGAGGTTATGCATTCTTCTGTTGTTTTATCTAAATGTCTAATTGGTTTAGTTAGTTAATAATTTATCTCTTTTGCTTCTTACTTTGTAGTAATATAATTACTTGAAAAAATTGCCACGAGCCATAAGGATATTTCAGCATGATTTTCACACACAGAATAAAATGAGCAGAGCTCTGGCATGGTATTTGAACTTTAGGGTACGGTATTTACATTTTTACATCAATAACTTAGTAGGCATATGTTTCATTTAATATGTACCAAATAGATATATAACCTAAAAGACGATGGTGCATTTTAAATTTATGAGGCCATTAGATCATGTAAGAATCAGCAGGTAATATATAATATATCGAAACAAAATTAGACAAGTGGCTAAATATTCAGGGTGTATAATTATCTTCAGTAGTGAAAAGTATTTGTTTTTGTTTTAGATGCTTTCCAGTATGCTATTGAAATTATTCAGCATTACTTCTATTTGAAATAGTGCAAATAAGTAAAACTACAAAAGGACACTTGGCCTTGAAACATTATTCTATCATGATCTTAATGGCTTAGAGCAGATAATTTTTTTTTCACAAAATCAAGTTTTTATCTTGTAAACATCCATAGGTTAATGCCACATGTTCAGATAATACTGTGAAGCCTCTTCTCTGTTGAGTGTAGAAATTTATTGTTCTGAATTACAGGAAAATATATAAAATAGAAATTCTATAGGTTGAAATACTCAAGTTGTGCTGGAGGAGTGAAAATGTTACTGTTGAAATTTAAAAAAATTTGGGACCAAATAAGTATAGGATTTAAATATAATAAATGTACTTTTATAGTACATAGGGGACATTGTTACAGTTTAGAAGGTATTTGGTCAGTATTTGACTTAAGTTCAATGCAAATATTTTTTTCCTTAATTATATTAATGCATTTATTATTCTGTCATAGTTATTTCTTGTGGTAAATAGAGGGACATAAATGAACAGTGAAATAAATTCTAACAAAACTTTTTAAAGTGAATTGATCCTCAACTCTTTTGAAAAGTTGCAGTAAAGTATATATAATGGGTTTATAAATAACAGAGGTGCAAAGCATTGTCTTTGTTGCTAATCTAGTTTTCATATTTGTTGAAAGATAGATAAAACTCCAAAGACCAAGTAATTTTTGTTTTCAAAACTTCCAGATAAAGTAAGATGTATAAGAGGTTATTATACAAGTCCTTGATAAGAACACTAAGCTATTCTTATCAAGTTTTAAATACAGTGCTATTTGGCTCAAATACCTTGATCTTTTGAGGAATATATTTATTTCCATATAGTATCATAAATGGTATAATATAATTTTTGAATAAATATGTGTTTCTGCTTTAAATAAGCATTTATTTTGCATATGGCAAATGTTCAATTTGGTAGTACTGGATCTGTTGCATCTGTGAAATAAATTTCTAAAATGTCATCTAAAATAAAC